CCATGCACCCGAGCCCTTGACATCCTCATTGACTCCGAAATATAAATGCCGTCCAAGATCTCATTGTTGCTCTAGCCTTGCAGCTTCATATCGTACCGTTGGGTTGTTTTCGTCATTGGGGATTTGTGTAATCCACTCGGTGTATCTTCCCTCTTCTTCCTCCTTTGTACACGTCCCGTTTCCATCATGACTTTCCTCATTAGGGCGTGTGTAGGTAGGTGATCGGACGGGTATGGAGGTAGGTCGCAGGTATAGGATCGATTGAGAAATGCTTCGTCGCAAGTGTAAAAGGAGTTTAAGAGATGTCAGATGTTGAATACGACCCCCAGACAGACCTAGGCCCATTCGTGAATCGTATGTTGGTGGTGATGACTTTTTGTTCGACGTTGTTCCGGCTGTGAAATCTCTGTCGACTGATTTTTCGACCAAAATATCGAGTGCAACTCCTTCAAGTCGAAAATCCATCAATTAAAATTCATCCCACCCATTTTCGTGACTGAATCTCGGCTCTGGGAGAATATTTCACTCCCAGGTTCGTAGATGACACCACTGACAGGTGTTCAGCCTTCGTCCTCCTGGTGGACAGCTGGTCGGACTCTTTTGTAGCTTCTAGGTGCTGTAGAGCGCGCTAGAGCGTCGGGTAGTCCTGTAGGGACTAAGGTCGTGAGCTATAGCAGGCAAGACGTTAAATTTAATCAAAATCAAAATCTTATGCGACGTTTCAGTTCCAATTTTCAAGGGGCCGCAGCAGTAGCGCTGGTACGGCCAGTAAACAGTTGTATTGTTTCATTCGCGACTTTTGGTGCGGAAGTCTGATGGCTAGGCTTCAAACGTCAAACAAGAACAGGAATAGCCACGCCGGCTATCGCGAGCCTATGTACTATGATCGACATGATTATTATGACGGGCATCCGATCCGCACAACCGGCTCTGGAATACTCCAGGTTTGGTCATGCTTAGGTTGGAGCCACACCCAAAAATATTATTCTAGAGGGAAACCGACTACGATTTTTAGCTAGAAAAAAACCCTCGCTGATCGGCACCCGCTGAGATATCGTGCTGTAATGTGCACAAACGTTGGGACTCGAAAGTACAAAAAGGATCTACGAGGGTTTAATAATTTAGATAAAGGACTCCTGTACAGCGAGATTATGGATAACTTTTGGATGCAGAAGCTTCGACGCCTTTGCCGCCGCAATCTTACTCTACTAGGTCCATGACTAAGTTAAAAGGAATAGAGGTGAACAAAAATTGGATACACAAAGTGCCCGCATCGGAAATTTGCGCCTTCTCAGACGGCTCATCGGAAGGAAATGGACTGTCAGCTTCGGGTTTTGTTCTGAAGAGATATGGCAAGACTCTTCTAAAGGAGAGTGGTATCCGACATGGAGGAGAGGTCCTGAACGTGGAGATCACAAGAGCGCTAAAGGCTCTCGAAGCGGCGCCGAGAATGAAGGAAGCGCAACAGCAGCTGAGGGGACGATTGTTGTGCTGGTGATGGCTAGGATTACGATGCACAAGGGTAATGATCACTGAGGGTGAAGGAAGAACTTTCCAGGTGGCTCCATGATGAGTAGAGGAACAATGGAGCACTGTATAGAAAGTGTCTCTAGATTGTACTGCCAGATGGAGGATACTAGAATATTCCGTGGTACTGTTTTGGGTAAATAAGGCGAGAGTCTAGCTACCTCAGATGTGTATATAATTAGCGCTTTCTACCTCCTAAATCCTCATAGTTCTGAATATCAAATATATCAGTAGTTCATATTGATTTATCGATAATCATCCGTGAACCTTCTGCCAATTAACCTCCGTAAGCTCTTACCTTTACAACAACGATACGGCGAGTGAATTTGTTACTAGTTAGTCAGCATGCTGTAAAAGTATTTGAAACGGGCACCTCTTGAACCAGCCTCGAGGAGGTACGTCAATTTCGCATGCTTTCAGCATCAGCTATCGTGACATTCAAGTGGATCCCCGGTCACTCAGGAAACGGAGGAACGAAGAAGCAGACGCAATTGCGCGCTCCGGTTGACGAATGTTGCCTAGTCCGGACAGTCAACCAGGATCTATTTCGTTTGCATATCTTCGCCGTATCATGAGTAAATGGCAACAAACTTTGCTCAGCAATTGGTGGAATAAAAAGTGCCCTGTTCACTACTGAAAATTAGATCTGCTCATAAAACGGCGCTAGTCGCCAAAGCTGACCTTATCAAGGCAAATACTCTGCGAGCTAATCGCAGCTTATAATCGACGATTCAACAATGTAGATGCGCCTAATGAGTATGCGTGTAGGGAGGAGACTATTCCTACATACTTCATACACTGTCGACTTCATTCTCGCGAAACACGTCGAATACGAGGTCTAAACTCGCACGACGTTTTTTCACACCAGTATCTCGGACCTAAGTGCTTTGAATACTATAGATTGATCGATTGATTTAAATTTAAGTCTCTACTGAGTCCTAGACTATGAAAGACTACTTAAAGATCTACCTAAATAGCTCTTCAATTTGTAGGTTAGTCTTTAATTTGAATATTACAATAATATATCAGTTAATCCTGAGGGTCATGCCCTAATTGAATACTATAGAAATCTGACAAAGAAAACCCGATGTCCTGCCACTCTGAACCGACCCGGCTTAATGCTGAGGCCGTTCCATTCAACCAGAATTATTTAAAATTTCCCCAGAATTCGTCAACTCTATTAAAGTTCTAGGGGGTATCTGAAATGATGGAAGTGAACGTTGACTGTCAAGTCAATACTGTACGAATCGTAAGATATTGGGGATTTAAGGATCAGAGATAAAAGGTTAGGATCAGTGAGGTTTTGGTTTTACTGAACTTATATTTCGGTAATTGTTTTGTTTTTAGTCTACATCTAATTGTCTATCTATGTTCTACCTCGCTTAGGTAGAAACATTGTGTTCCGATTACGTGATGGAATAACATTCACACCACTGAGATCATCACCAACCGAGACCTCACCAAAGCTAGTGGTGATCGAAGATGAGAAGTCTTCGTCTACTCCGCACTGCGTGCAGTTCGGTCTGGCATGTCTAGATTTCAACAAACTCTCCCTTTAGTCAAACTGACTTGAAGAGAAATTAAAAAGAGAAGGCACTTCATCACTCGGCGTTGGCCGTCGAAGTGTCCGAAGAGTTGGCCCCGATGGTGGTGCTGCCGTCGTGGGGATGGCTGGTGCCACTAGGGCTTCGACTGCCTTGCGTGGTCGTCCCGGCCATCTTTTGAGTCTTTCAGACTTTTTACTGGTGACCGAAGTGAATCCTTGATCATCAGTCGTTACGACTGTTCGTATTGGCGCCATGTTTATTTTTCATTCCATATTTCCGCCGTTCTCGATAGTAGCTCCATCCGAGCCTTCTCCACGCCTCCCTTGTAGACCTGGTAGGTCCGACACGCTGCTTTCTGCCACGAACGGTGCTCCTCGCCGCAGTTCGCACAAGAAACCCTTTTCTTCGGACAGTCTCAAGTTTGATGAACGCCTGAGCACTCACCCCACCTAGCTGCCTTTCCACATGACGACTGGGTGTGTCCCCACTGGCTGCAGTTGTAACACTGCTATGGCTGGGTTCGTTGTGACCACACCTGAGCGGTGAAGAGCAAGGCGTTGATGACAAGGCTCTATCGAACTACCTCTATTTGCATTTCCTCCGATGGGAGACTGACCACAATTGATCCGCGAATGCGACTGTTTTTCTTCGATCGCAGGTGTTCCTTTCCGTCATGAAGCCATCGTATGCTGTTAATTACCAGGACTGGAATACGTGCCTTCGTCACCGTCTCAACCTCTCTGACGATGGCCTAGTTGTTGGCATCTCTGTTACCTTCAATTTTTGTCCGCAGTGGGACTCCGGAAACCTCGACGGGACAATCCTGCCGCAGAATTTTGAAATCCGTTGGTTGTCGCATATTTAGCGCCGCGTCTCTCTGGGACGCCGACTAGACGAACACCTCGGTATCGTTGCTTTGCATTTAACGAATTGCGTATGCACCTTGTATGTGCTCTTTTGCCTTTGAAAGCAGCTCTTGTGGCTGCAAGTTTTGAGCGCCGTCGATTCTTATTCTTACCGCTGTTTTTGTCATTTGGGGAGCTACGACCGACGCGTAACTCCTTGGTGTCGGCGCGCCCGAAACCGCTGCTGGAGCAGCTTTCCGAGCGGGATCCGCGAGGCTTTTCTTCACGACTTCCTCTAAAGCCATCATCCTCTCCTCGATAGGAGACTTCTTCTGAGATATTTCCGTCCAAGCGCTTTTGTGCGTGTTGAAGGCCTTCACGTCCTCCATTGTGGGTAAGTCCTCATTCATCTCCCCATCACGATAAGTCTAACCTGTTTTAGTAGTTTCCCCAGGATTTCAGGGTTTCTATCCTTTGGTGCACAAAAAGCGAAAAGGTAGGGGGATAATGAAGATGAAAAATATTATAATCACGATTTCAAACTGATGATACGGGCAGTGGAGAAGGCTGCGCAGCTCCCTGGCAAAAATAATGTTTTTTTTTTCAAACATCCTGTTATGACACTTTAATGTGTATTTGAAGATCTCTAATCCATAATTTATATCGGAATAAAATTTTGTAATCGGGTTTAATATTGAATGGGATATATGCGCGCATGATATTTAATGTGACGCGGAGTAAAATCTCATTCTTTTTTTTTGCACCTAATATCTCATTCGTGTAAATTGTAAAAGTCTTTATTTTGTAAAATTTCGGTTGGCACCACAACATAGGTAAAGCTCCATGCTAAGTGGAAGAGAAAAAAGTATAAATTTACAACCAGTCAGGTGATTATCGGAACATAGTGCCGCCGCGGTCACTGCGAAAAATACTCAAACTCAAAATCTTTAGATCACAGCTAAGGACGCTATCGTAATCGATGCATACTAGCTCGACGTTAACACTTCACACAAGATATAAGATTTTTATGGTGGAGTTAAATAACACTTAGTCTCTACAAAAACCCTGTTCCTAATAAAAAATGGCCATGAGTTAGTACTCTCCCGTACAGCTGAATTTATAACTCACACAAAACAAACTGACTATTTAAGATATCGACATGTCGCAGGGTAAAATCTATTCACGATTTGTTTCAGGCTTCTAGAGCTAATATAGCACATCATAGCCTCTGTCATAAAGGACGAGCAAGGAAGGCCATTCATTGTTGTGCGGGAGTGAGTTATATCTGTAGAAGTACGTCGATAATTTTACTCATTTTCAACAGCCAAGGAGCGAAAAAGAGACAACATGGCACCGATGCAATAAAGTCGCACATAACCGCTGCGCGAACAGTCGCCAATATTGTAAAAACATCATTAGGACCGAGGGGGCTTGACAAGATTCTCATTTCTCCCGACGGTGACATCACAGTAACGAACGATGGCGCCACAATCTTAAGTCAGATGGAAATATCGAATCACGTTGCCAAGTTGTTAGTAGAACTCTCGAGGTCGCAAGACGATGAGATAGGTGATGGCACAACTGGAGTAGTCGTTCTCGCAGGCGCGCTCTTAGAGCAGGCGGCTGAGCTGATCGACAAAGGAATCCATCCCATAAAAATTGCAGATGGCTATGATCAGGCGTGCGATATTGCGGTTGCGGAGCTTGACAAAATTGCAGACACCATTGATTTTACTAAAACAGAGCGTCAAAGTTTGATAAAGGTTGCTAAAACTAGTCTTGGCAGTAAAATTGTCTCGAAAGCCCTTGATCAGTTTGCAAATATCGCCGTAGACGCAATAATGTCTGTCGCCGACCTAGATCGAAAGGATGTTGACTTTGATCTAATAAAGGTTGATGGAAAAGTCGGTGGATCCCTGGAAGACTCAATGCTTATCCAAGGAGTTATTGTTGATAAGGATTTCTCACATCCTCAAATGCCATCAGAGGTTCGGGATGCAAAAATCGCCATTCTCACATGCGCATTTGAGCCTCCAAAGCCAAAAACGAAGCATAAGCTTGACATTACCACAGTAGAAGAATTCAAGAAGTTACAAAATTACGAAAGAGAAAAGTTCATAGAAATGATTGATCACATCAAAAACACTGGTGCAAATCTCGCCATTTGTCAATGGGGATTCGATGATGAGGCAAATCACCTACTTTTGCAGAACAAATTACCTGCTGTAAGGTGGGTTGGCGGACCGGAAATCGAATTGATTGCCATTGCAACAAATGGAAGAATTGTCCCGAGATTTGAAGACCTTACTGCAGCTAAGCTTGGAACTGCGGGAATCGTTCGTGAGCTAAGCTTCGGGACTACAAGAGAAAAAATGCTAGTTATCGAGGAGTGTGCCAATACTCGTGCAGTTACCATTTTTGTGAGGGGTAGTAATAAGATGGTAAAAAACTATTCAGCAAACTAAAGGGGCTCACTAACTGGCTACAGATTATCGATGAAGCCAAACGCTCTCTCCATGATGCACTCTGCGTCGTTCGTAATCTTGTGCGAGATAACCGTGTCGTCTATGGTGGAGGTGCCACTGAGATTGCCTGTTCCCTTGCAGTCGAAGATGCTGCAGTTAAGACACCAGGTCTCGAACAGTATGCCATGCGTGCCTTTGCTGATGCCCTTGACTCTATTCCCATGGCTTTAGCCGAAAACTCGGGGCTGTCCCCAATTGAAACACTTGCAAACATTAAGAGTCAACAGGTCACTGAGAAAAACCCAAGACTTGGAGTTGATTGCATGCAGACAGGATCTAACGATATGAGAGACGCATTTGTCATTGACCCACTTATAGGAAAAAGACAACAGCTGATGTTAGCAAGCCAGCTCTGCCGTATGGTGTTGAAGGTCAACAATGTAATTGTAGCTGGCAGCGACGAGAATGAATTCTAATGAGCTGTTATTGTTCTGAACTAGCTCACATGCCTTCATTATGTTATTATGGTTATGAACCCCCGCTGGTGATGCCCTCCTTAAGTGAGAAAACCTTGACTCCTACACTAATATACTGTCACAAATAAAGCGAAAGAATCTGAAAAAAAAAGAAAATACGTCAGTACAAGTTTTCCTACAAAATTCAGCACTGCTGTATCTTTGGAAACTATCCTAGAATGTGTCAAGTGGTTTCAATGATAACTCTAGTTGTAGTACTCCTCAAAGCTGAGTCTGCTGAGTAGCTTCTGCGATGCAATTTACTGGAAAAACTCCCATGCTTTAGAGGCCTATTTCTTTATACATATTAATCACTTCCCTCGAGGATGGAATCATGGAATTTTAGTGCGAAATCTGTGCCTAACTAAGAGAAATTTACCATAGTAAATCGTTGGCGCTATTCAAATATCAATATTTTTACCTTCAAGGTCACGGGCGTCGGATCTATGTGTAGCCGAATGTAGGTCATGGAACTACAACAATATGTACACTTCCAAAAGTTAATCTGACTACCGGCTGAGATCTCCACAAGATTTCTATATTTCAAGTCAAACTAATTGAGCGATTGCATCATTTTGAAGTCGAGCGCGGTGCAGAACACAAACCCCACGTCGCATCTACTTTAATCTAAGATTTTTAAATAACAAAGGGAAGGGAAGGGATCTCATCTCTCTAAGTGATGCGCAATGTTGAACGACAAAATTTAACTAAGGACAAAGGAGGTCGCTGTATGGCTTGTTAAATTTTAAAAGGCCTTGCTCTTTATTCAAATAAAGGGTTTAGTAGCTTTGTTAGTCTCAGAATTTAGCCCCCAACAACTTTTATACCTGGCACACATTCTAAAGCTATCTTCTTGATATGAAGGTGAAGTCGTTTTACTCGTCTAATGCATGAACCCAGATTCTTGTCAAAGGTCATAATAACCGACCATTCAATAACTTTTGGTTTTAACTATCGAGGCTGTTTATATTCTATTATACTCATATTAAATTAGTATGGATAGTCACTCAAAGGAATGGTAGCCCGGTCCTGATGAAAGATTGTCTTTGTGCAACTTCTGAGCGACTAATTCGCTTTTCGCTTGATTGTACGACACATTTTTCTTGCCCATCCCAACTATGTGTATACTTTCATGCCAACTTGAATTGGTGTACATTGTAAACTAATTATATATCTTTACAATTCCAATTAACTCTTCAGATATTCCAAGTAAGATTAAATCTTGTTTAAAAAAGTATGTTCCTCGAATATCACGAAATGCTACCCCCCGAGGTATTTTAAGAGTTACAGCTTCTGACAAAGAGTAATCAGGTATTTAGTGATAGACACTGAAGACTATTCACGTAGTCCAAGAATGCACAAGAATGCTACTAAGAATAAAGATAATCAAGGGGTATTTTTGAATAATTGATCCCTTTGAATTGGTCTTCCTAACAAAGCCAAGAATCTTTCCAGCGCTCAAATTCTACCCGACTGGATAGAGTATACCATATCTTCTCGCACAAATGAAAAAAATATGAAAACGGAAAGGAAGAAGGCAGATCAGATAGTCTCGTCTCCCATAGAACTCATTGAAAAAATTAACTGTGGCTCTTCCTCGAACAAAACACCACGAGATGTAGTAGCTACTGGTAAGATCGACCCATTGGTAACTAGAAGAAGCTTTTTTGGAACCTATTTATCATCAAGTTCAATCAATTTTAAATCTAATCAATATTTCACTACCTCGAGATCCGCAATAAACATAGTAACTGTGAAGGTGCTGACAAACGCAAAATCCAGGCGATTAACACTAAATATTTAAGCAGGCGTCAGAAAAAAGTAATGAACTCTCAACTAGATCTCAGCACCAATCTCTGGTGACAAGCAGGTCTCACACAGGGGTGTCTACATCGACAGGCGAGATATCCTTGGAGGGGTTGGCTAATCTTAAACACTTGAAGCGATCCAAGTCTTCAGCATATGGCCCAGTTTTGCAGGTATTTCCAGCCGACAATATTGGCTACGCAAATTCTGTCGAGAGACTTCAGTCTAGGACTAAAAACCAAAGGATAATCGGGAGTTTAGAAGATCATTATTCTCCGAGTATATTTCCCGAGAGGAGTGCAACATTTTCTAGTAAGTGTTGCCAATCTCTGCAAATTATATCTGGGGAAAAGAAATTACACGCAAAAAGAAGTTTGACAGGAGCATCGAAGAGAGAAACCAATCGACCCGATGTAACAGCTGAGTCTCCAAATCAGTTGAGCGAATTTCACCTCATGCCAGGCAGTACTAACCTTCAATCGCATGTTCATAATACTAATACGGAGAGGTCTCTAAAACACGATGCGTGGCAAGAGTCTAAAATAAATCTTTGGGGATCTGATCAAGAGCAGAATAATTCTAGATCTTGGGATCCTTTACGTTTACAATGGCTCGAAAGACTCAGTCATAAAAATAAGGTGGCTTATTTTCGAGCCACTAACTTTGAAGTTGATGGGAAACTTGCTCCGAGTCTCTTATGCAGTCAAGCATTTCCAGTAAATTCATCAAAAAATATTAAGGGCCTAAAGTTCACTCTATTTCCCTTATTGCCAGCAGAGATACGGAATCAGGTTTGGGAATGTGCTAGACAAAATTGCTCAAGCTCTTGTTATGTACAGCTGGATGTAAAGCAGGCACCAGGCGGCACGTATCAAAAAATTCGAGGCAAACTAGAGCTTGTACCCCATCCGATCCTGGACGCAAAATTTACCTATCTTTACAATATTCCTGGTTTATTTGGAGCCTGTCGGGAATCACGCTCAATCGTAAATGAGTTTTATGGAAGACCAAAGTTAATTGCGTATAATAGAGAAACAAAGAAACCTTATCCGAGTGGTCAAGGCAGTTGTAGGCTTAATTATGAACATGATCGTTTATTTATTATTACGCGCGGAACAACGACACAGCTACCAGAGTTTCTTGACTTAATGAAACGCGAGGAGCAGGTCCGAATTAAGCATATTGCCATTCCTCTAAAAGATTATTTCCTCGAAGCATCCAAAGTTGTTCACAACATTGCGCGTCTAACTAACCTAGAGACTCTTGATTTGATAATCGGAGATGGAAAAGACGATCTGAGGCAGATTGGCAGCAAGGATTATGGTCATCGGTTTGAGAAATCTTTGAGAAAGTATCACAAGATTGAAGATTTACAGCGGAAGGAGAAACATAGAAATCGGTGGTTGATTCCTAAAGTAAAAATTGAGTATGTGAACGAGATACAGGCGCGTATCTGGGGTATTGACTGTCTTCAATGGGATCGCACTACAAGGCCTATACGGTATTAGCATCAGCAGAAATTTGTTACCAGCAGTCACTCTTGTATTTAGACTGGTAGCTCCCAACTACAATAATGATCCAAGTGTTTCTCAATATTAAGTGCATAAGATTTAGTGCCAATAGCATAAAGGTTATTATGTATTTATTGCAGGGCTTATGCCTTGCAGGAAATTTCTATCTACAGAGATTTACATGAGTTAACTAAGCTGTATTGACTTGAAATTCAAATGAGAGGGGCTGTATGCTACTTTTAAGATCCAGCTAACTTGAGAATATATGAATATAGTGAATCTGAATATGAGCAGTGCTCAAAATTATTTCATACTTTACGGGGAGGTACTATCTTTTACAGGTAGTATCTACCCAATTCGAAACCATCGTAGCTCAATGGCATTCGCTCTGACAACCCCCTATTGATTAAAGCGTGCGATATGTGTGCTTATCATCTATGTCTCATCGTGTATATATTAAATTTTCTTTGCTAAACATTTAATTTATATGGTCTGTTTATTTATGGCACTTTTAAAATTGTGCTAATAGATGGTAAAGTTGATTAATTAGTGGCTAAAGTGTTCAAAAAGCTTGAACCACCTCAGAGTGGAAATATTTCAAGAAGTGCACAATTTCGATCAGAAATCCTGGTGAAATTTATGTGAGGTATTGTTTATCTTCTCTATGTAATTTAAAATTGGATGACATCCGCTTATCCGGCTCTGACTTGTGCGGGTAAGCCAATATCAAATAGGAGTTAGCGTGGCTTTGTTGATCTCACATCACCAAATATCCAGCAATAACTGCCCACTCCATTGATATGCGATGACATTATCCGGCCAGCGAATTTTGGATGCAACTGTGTCTTTTCTCGTACAATCAAGCTTGCGCACGCACACACACACACACAACGAATCAAATTCATCTTCATGGCTGTCCTAGGGTAGTATGTTTAAAATAAGCCATATATTAAAACAAGTAAATTTTGGTGGCATATTATCTGGTCTTAGCAGTCCTTCATAGTCATAGAATGTATGAAAGTTTATTCGTGACGGGCACAAGCCCTGCACCCTAAGAGCATGACACGGAGAAGGCGAGTCCTTCCCCGACGACTACATACGACGATAACTCAATTTGAAATTTGGACTACTCACGTAGCGGGTGCATGCGCTGTAACTACTCGAGACCTTGGTGCTGGGGACTTTCACCCTTTCCTCAAACGTTCATATCCACCAAAGGGAAAACAGGAAAAACCTTTGGCTACCCTAACCTACCTTTGTCAACTTGTATATAGCCGCCGCGCAAGATGTAGCCTCACATTCCTCCCTTTCTCGAGTGAGGTTAGTGTCCAGACTACCTAGACTTTAATTCGGGGAGATGACTAGCAGGAGGCGGACCACAACATTTTCCATCGTTGCCTATTTTTAAGTTGTAGGTAGCACTATCCTAAATTGTTGCCTCGGCACCCACAGACGCTCTCGAGTCGAAAACACTCGACAAATGTGCGTCCCAGCATGCCCATTTGTGACCTCTTCACTCGTTCGCCCCACTCCCCAGTTGCCTGTCCTCCCTCAAGATGTGAAGCCCCATTAGAGCAACGGTCCCCCATAGACCAAGACCCGAGCTTTGTAGACTATGACTTGAATTCCTCCTCGCGGGTAAACATAGCGTCGTAAGTGTGTAGTGGAAGATGGACGGTTTTTGATGAGGCAAATGCCCAATTGCAATTGGACTAACGTCATTATCGGTCATTGAGGCGAGGTGGTGTGGTAAGATTGTGGTAGAGGCCTCGCATGAGAATGTGTCCGACATTGACGAGAAGTCATCGATTTTAGGTGTGCTTGAGGTTGCTTTCGAATGCGATTCGGATGCGATTCTTCTTGGCTATCCCAGATATGCAGAGCATACTGATCGATTACACCGGCACCACTGGAAGGTGAAGAATTCGCCTTTGCCGGCGGTGATTTAATTTAATATAAGAACGCTATTGCCTCTGATTTCGTTTGTAAGCACCGCTGCGAAGTTATGGTGGCTTTTTTTTCACCCCAAGTCAACCCTCATCCGTGAACACTTATCTAGGGGAACGTCTCAAAAACCCTGAGTTATCCAGACATTCCTCCATCATCCATTAACTTTTCTCCGCGCGAAATGCAATCTGAGATGTCTCCTTCCCAAGTTCAGTAGATGCACAGGCTACTCAAACTACACCGCAGAACACCACCAGGAGGCGGACCACGGCACCTTCCATCGTCGGCTTGTTTTTATAGTGTAAGCTGCACTCTCGCAAGCAAAAACTTGGCACGCACAAAGCTCAAATTGTGAAAACTCCCTGCCAAAATTCAGAATTTTACGGCCTTTGAGGTTATATCCTTCCTTCGCATCATCTTATCAATCTGTCCTGAATCGTCTCACGTCCATCCCAAAAGAACTGTCTCCCAGATTTGTGCGCCACGCTTTGCTTCCTCCGTCGGGTATAAATATCGGCGTGGGCCTGTGTTTGGTGACCGGCTGAGGCCAGAGAAAGTCGACAAGAGGTATAGTCATTGGGATGAGGATGTACTCGGTCGTACTTGTAGACTTTATGAGACTTAGGTAGAAGTCAAACTCGTTGTGAGCGAAAAAATGACGTGGAGGAGTAATTTGGATTTTTGCCTCGTGGGCCAACTTATTTGATATCGCGAAATTTGACTGAACTTGGCTCTGAGAGAATATTTCACTCCCAGTTTAATTGACGACACCGCGTACAGGTGTTTAGTCCTGCCTTTCTGTGATAAGCACCAAGTGTAAGTAATATCACTCACAATAGAAGTGACGCTTTATTACATAATACGAATATTGGAGCGAAAACGAGATAATGCATGACCAGTGAAATAGTTGCAAGACTGTTAAAATCACAACATGAGCTTCCTCGTTTGAGTTATGTTTGAAGATCTTCCCTAGTTTTCTAAGAGCCAATGAGAGCTGATTTTAATTGTTGGAACAAGTTCAATCGATGAACCAAAGTAACTGTATGACACAAGTAGAATGGTTCAATCAACCAAAAATATACGGAAACTGAGGCTGAAAATATCTCGCCGGTGTCCCTATCCACCACCAGCTGGTAAATCGTCTTGGCCGCTCTGCAAAGTAGAGTCTGGATAGCTTGGACACATATCCCACTTGAGACAGTAGATCGCTGGTTCAAATCCGGCAAGACACAACCACATTTCTCGCGGCGCTGGTATGCATGGATGACGAAGGCATGCTTGGATAACCAACGGTTTTGAAACGTCCCTTTGGTGGGTACTTTCGCAGGAGGGTCGACTGTTTGTGTAAGCAAGCATACCTTACAGTGATATTTGCGAATGAAATCCAGAGTATGAGTATCTCTAACGTCAAAAGAGTCATTCAACATGTACACATAGCACCGGTCATGTGTCATAGCCCCATAGCTGAAATCACTTAAATGATTTAAAAAAAAATATCCACCACCAGCTATTTTTATAGTTTTCAAAACCAATATCGAGGTTCACCTTCATCCTCACTTCGAAGAGAAGTCACAATCGCTTTCGCAGTCTGTACAGTCTTCATCTCTCCGCACAACCACTTGGCATCATTATCATGAAGCTGACCACGATCAGATCAGATGGTAGGGTCGGAGCCCTACTCATCACTAACCCTTGATCATGGAGGAAAAACCATCCGATGAGTTTCCGGAGCGTACTCAGCAACCGATACAGAGATGGTGGATTGTATCAAGTCGACCTCGACTGTTACAAAGAAGGGAGATAAAGATGGGTATGCGCACCTCATGTGGTCCCGGTGTCTAGGTCTCGCCTGGCTGTGGCTGCAGGTTTTATGAGACTTTTTCCCGCGCATGCAGTTTCCATTGCTACCATTTTTTTATTTTTTTTTATTTTTTTTGGTGGAAGGCTCCGTGGAAAAGGTGGCCGAATTCCACGGTTAAATGCTGAGCTGAATGGCTATTCATCACGGGCAATATATCAACGATCTTTTAAGTAACAAAAGAGGCAAGAAGCACTGCATAAGGTGTGGCATGAAACAGATAGGAGCTCAATATGCTAAATAGTCAATGACTCCGACAGTACAATGATACCAAATAAAAACAGCAGTCTGGCACATAGTGACGAATTGAACTCCCAGAAATCAAACAATATGGTTTGATGCTCTACTATACATTTCGCTATGAATGACTTGACCGAGAATCTCCCAGCGAGATTCTGAGCAAAGAGAAATCTAGTTGTCGTGTCCTTGCCTCACGCAACTCATAGTATTTTGACCCCCTAAGTCCCCCCTACGAGCCCTCAGGGAAAGAGATATGATCTTAGCACGACTCAGAGCCCTGATGAATGGCTGGATAGAATTCAGTGCCACTAGTTCTGAAATACGTCTACTCGGGGCCTCACATGATGAGATGGCAGTACTTACAGATGGATAAAACTCCAAGGATGCAGTTATAAGAGCCTTTCACGCAATAGGTTAAGCCATTGACGAGATATTCCGCAAGTCAATTTACGTGTGCTCAAGCTGCGAAGTTTTCGATCCCGGAGTAAATGCTACTTTTACCGGCATGCTTGCAACCATTGCCCTTTCAACGATGGGCTATGCTTTCAGTAAGTAGATCTTTCTTGAAGATTTTGGGATGCTCCTGAGGCTACCTTCGAGCACTGCCGCTCCATCGCAGAGAATTTTGAAAATACCTTCAAACTATTGTGAATAAGTGCCTTCATAACTACACTAATCGTGGCATGACATTGCACTAGTTACATTACTTCCTTCAAGCCTAATTTATCATTATGGGCTGAAAAGACACACTAATAGCAACTTGTCTATATGACTGATAATACCTTACAGTTACTCTAGTCTTACTGACGAAATTAGATGGAGACACAATGGCAGGAATTCCGGTATATAAATGGGGCCTTTCTATTCTCGCCATCTATATCCGCATTCAATAAGAAATTTAAATATGTTCTTCATGTCACTCTTTCCGGGGCTTATCACAGTTTAACATACT